ACAGAAGGATTAAATGAGATAATCCACACAGAAAGCACTGAGCCCCAGGCCTGGAAAAACCGTAAGAACTCAATAATTGATGACTATTTTTAGTACACTTGTCAGCTAGCCATACATTGTGAGGATTGGCAGATGCAATGGGATCACAGAAGGACAAGCTGCCCCATTTTACCTCAGCTGTCTTGTGTATAGAGAGACGTTAGAGAGACGTTAGACACTTAACCTTTCCAACCTTTTCAACCTCTGCTTGTAACAAAACTGTCAGCCTCTGGTCTCTGCATATCCAAGTGCAATTATACTTTAGTTCTGGGCAACTTTTAAGAAGTGGCACATCTTGATAGCCACAATCAATTTCTCGGCCAGGGAAAAGACAAAGGCAGAGAGAAGTGCAATGATGAGAAATAGATTCATTTCTCCATATATAGCTCCACCCAAACACCAAGGCTTTTGATGCTTGTTCCACAGGCTAATTTGTCTGTGTCAAATGTGGTAGTCTGTGAAGTATATTGAACGTGTGAAATACATCCAAAGTTAGAAGTCAAAGTGTCCCAAAGTCCCAGCAGTCTTAAAATAGAACTTTCTCTTTGAGCTGCAGAGATAATTTATGTTCACTGGATCAAGACAGGAGAGTTATGGGCAGAATGAAAGAAGGAGGGAAAATGATGCTGTGGTTAAAATTCGGTTGTGGTACTTAGAGGCAAATGCAAGAAGGTATCTTGAGTTGGAAGCCAGACTAGGCTACAGAGTGAGTAAGCAGCAAGCCTGAGCCACAAAGTAAGTCTGAGCTATCTTGAACTAAATATCTAGGAACATTACAGATTGTGGATTAAATTGCTGTTTCTTCCCTGTGTATGATCTGGGAAATATGACCGAACTTCTCTGAACTTTAATTTCTTCATCTGTAACTGTGAGGGTGACAATTAAGACATTGTCATACAATTACAGAGTTTAAAAAGATACAATGCGCATGTGACCGTGTAACACTTTTGAGAGAGAGATTTTTGTACCTGGCACATAGAATTGAAATAACTATTAGCAGTTTTTAATATAAAGAAAGCCAGATGTTTCCCTGGCTAGACAAAGACAATGGATACCTGTTTTTCTTCCCCAAAGAGGAGAGGGACAAGAAACTTTAATTCTCGTAGATGAAGCATTCAGAAGTAGCTTTCATTGAATCCAGTGGCTATGATTCAAAAAGAGAGCAAAAAATTTCATTTTAACTTAGTATTCCACTTAGACTATCTTTATGGACCTGGGACCATGCGGGTGCCCAGGCTCCATGCTCAAGGGGCCTATGTTTCTTTAAATGGTGTTGTTGCTGTCTGAGATTCTTGGTGCTTTTATCTTTGAAGGTGTGTTTTTAAGTAAAGTCCAATGGAAGAAGGAAGCATGCATGTAATGAAGGAAGGAGAAAGAAGATGCTTTTACTAGCGTGTGCCTTTCCTGGCATGATTGTCTGCTTCTTGAGCAAGGAACCCTGTGTTTTTACCTAGCACTGAGCCCTGAGGATACCATAACCTGCCTGATTAGAGTAAAGCTTCTATTTTTGCCTGCTCCACTGGGCCAGGTTACTGTTTAAAAGTCTGATGAGAAACTGGGATTCAGTAGTGACCTAGGAACTGTGGTCAGCCAAGGCTCATTGGGGAAAGCCAAAAGCACAACTGCAGGCCTGGTAGAAAGGAAAAGAACTCAATGTTCAATTGTAGGGTGATTAGCCTAGTCTCCCATGGCTTGAATTCCACCCATGTCAGAGCACTGTCCTGTTCCATAATCTGCATTATGAGCAGAGCATTGTTGGGTGGCAGCAAGAGTTTAGACAGTTTCTGCTGAGCAGACCAAGACACCCTTACAAACCATATCCAAGTCAGTACCATGGGGGTAGAGGAGAGGGGATCTCCTAAAGCACTTGACAGCACAGTAGTAAAGCTTCTCTTTTCAGAACTCTCTGGTTTTCAGCAAGAACTTTTCCCCGTCTCCATGACCAGGCATGATGAAGATCTGAGATTAATGCCACAGTTACTCATAAATAATACATGAATGGTTGCTCTTTTACCAGTGTTGCTAGTCACTAATAATACTTACTGGTGATTATGACAGGATCTGTGGAAATGAAAGGATTTGGGATGTGATCTAACTCAGTCAAACTTCACTGGAATAAAGGAACAAAATCTTGAGTGCTTCCTCAGTTTTCTCTTCTGGGAAGTGGCAGCCATGCTCACTTTCTAATTACTGTGTCTAGGATGAATTGTGATGTCCAGTTTGTTTCCGTCATGCATTGTCAGACACATAGGTGCTTGATGAATGTATGTTGGATGGATAACACAAATACAAGCGTGGACACATGTGGGAAGGGAAGGAAGACAGTCAAAAAGGTACTGGATTCTTATTGAGGCCCAAGTCTGCAGCTATTGAGTCTTTTACAGCTACAGCAAAGCAGACTTATTTTATATTTGAAGGCCATGAGGTGCAGGCCTGTTATTTCACTTGCCTCAAGTCTCACAAGTTGTGACTATGCCAGAATTTGAGCTACAGGGCTCTGGTTTAAGACCCTGTCACATCTGACATTTTGCTGATGTGTTTCTTTCCAGCTGAGGTCCTCCTCCATGTCTGCTCCTTGCTGCTATTGTGACTGTTGTGATCTCTCCAGGTTTTTCTTGCACCCCTGGGTCCCCCTCATCTCCATTGTTCTGGTGTTTTCTCGCCAACTCTCCCTAGATTCCCCCTAGCTTTCATGAATGGAATTTACTTGATGCCATACAAGGAGACTAGAAGTCAGGTTTTCATAATTTACAGAAGAAATTCAAGTAGCTGACAAGCACAGGGTCAAGTCTGAAGCCCACTTGTAGCCAAAGAAAAGTCCAGAGGAGAAGGAGTAGGATACACAGGCTTCAGGCAAGTACTGAAGCCCTTTGGTTTGGACTTTCAACCCCAGATGGTGGAGGAGTGTCTCTGTCAGTCACCCTTTGTTGATAGTATTTGAGGAATGCCTAGCTACTTCAAGCCTTTGAAGTGTTTATTGATGCCCATAGCTCCTCCCACCCACTGTACATTCAGAATCCTTGCTGATGAATGAAGAAATATCTCTCAATGAAATGGAGGTAAAAATAATGTCCAATTCAACTTCAATGATTTAAAACCGTTTTTCAAGGTTTAAAAAAGGGTAACATGTTCACAAGGCATTAACATCAGACTTTAATAAATACATTATAGAAATGGGATCACATAGGCAAATAATTTTTTTAAATCTATAGGTCAAAGAGTACCTATCCATGCATCAGAGTTTCATTCCTATAATCTAGCTACTTAGAATGCTGAGACCCCCCCAGGGTCACAGTTCAAAGCCAGCCTGTGAAACAAAGTCTCTGGGACTCTTATTTCTAATTGATAAGCAAAAAGCTAGGCTGGAGAGATGATTCAAGTTGTACTGTCTTAGCCAAGCACGTACAGATCCTGAATTCCAACTCCAGTATTAGCCAAAAGAAAAAAAAAGTCGTATATCTATACTGTTTTCTAGTCCTGCAAAAGAGCAGGCACTTGGCAATTTGGCATCATTTGTTTTATTCGGCAAATATTTATTGCATGTCTTCCATGTGTCAAGCACTGTGCTAAGTTCTGTGTGTGCAATATAAACAAACAAACAGTCCCTGCACTCCTAGAGCTGACAGAATATTAGTAAACAGACACAAATTACAACCAGTAATCACAGGTTGGTTGATTGCTAGAATACAAAATGAAACAGTATGCTAAAAAGAGTTTAATATTAGAACCCAATTTAGATGTAAAGATGAAAGAGCAGGCTCTCTTTGGAGTTGCATTTGGGCTGGATCTTACAAAAGACAATGGGGGTCGAGTGGCTGCAGAGAAACATTGTCACTGAGGGGACAGGTGTGCAGCAGGCCTAGGTGGCAGATTCAGGAGACCCAAGAACCTGAAGCAGATGAGTGAGAAGGTCCAGCCAAGGATCAGACTGCACTCTGAGTACAATTCTCCATGGGCCATGGCAACATTTGGGGCAGGGGTTCAATGAAGTCCAATGAGCACTTCTAAAAGAGTCCACTGATTGCAAGTACTTCTGGAGGAAGCTGATTCACCTCCATCCCTAATCCCTATCCCAGTGCTAGGTAAAAATCAGTTTCTCTTCTGGAGAAATCCACAAACCAAACTGGAAACAGAGAATGGCATGCTCCCCTTCCTCCTCCCTTTTTCTTTTTGTGGAGTTATTAGGAATTGACTGGAGGATCTTGTGTGTTGTAATCAATTGCTGTATGACTTGGGTCACACCCCTTTCCTTTTGCTTTTAGTTCTTGTCAGACAAGGTCTCCTGCTAACTGCCTTGGGCAGACCTCCTCAGATAATCCTCCTACCTCTGCCTCCCAAGTAAATGCAAAGATAGGCTTGTGCCACCATACCCAGTCTGGGCATTGGCACATTCTTATTGTTAAGCCTTTCAGCCCTCCCCTCCCCAAACTTTAATTGGATGAAGCTCCACTCATTTCTTTCTTCGATTCAGCTTTGAATACCAGTGGATAGATACACCTGCCCAGCCCTACTGCTGAAGTCTCATTTTAAAGTCAGCTCAAACAAAAGAAAGCCTCGTCTCATAATCCAGAACTGCAGTTTCCAAGAACTAGAGACAAAATGAACTAGACCAAGTAAAATATTGGTGATTGCCCTGGAATCATTTGTAGACAAAGCAAACACATTGGAGGTGGGGTGGGGGGAGGGAGTTCTCACTAACGTGATTTTGTGCTAATTCCAAGTGATTCCTGATAGTGCACTGTGAAGACCCTTGGCAACTTTCTAAGCATCTGTCTTGCATTTGCCTAACAAGTTAATTAACACTTTTTGTCACTTTGGCAGCGTTGGAGGGACAGGGAGGGAATGTGACAGCCGGTGCTCCCTTGCTTTAATCCTGAACTCTCTCAGCCTGGGAGGAAGGGAAGAGTTCTCCGTGGCCAAGGTGCACGTGTCTACACTGACCTCTCCGATTCTATCCACAGTTGGGGTACACAGGGTGACTTCTCCACGACCCACGCACTGCCAGCTGTGAAGGTGAAGCTCTTCACAGAAAGTACAGGTGTCCTGGCATTGGAGGACAAGGAGCTTGGGCGGGTGAGTACCTTCCCCCCACACACACCCCCTCTCCCAGCAAGAACCATCCCACAGACCTCCAGAGAGTGAGTATCGCAGGTGCAGCGCCAGTTCCTGCGTCACCAGGACGCAGCATTGCCAAGGGATGAGAGGCCCAGCTTTGAAGTTTAAGTCCTGGGCTCCACTCTATATTTGACCTTTGAGCTTAAGTCTTGTCACATTTGAGCCTCCAGTCCTCCTCCACTACTTAAACTAACAGGAGGAGGTGCCACAGAAAGTAGAGCCAGGGGTCCACCGTGCCACCAGACTGAAACTACTTCAAACAAATATTCGGGGTGCCTTTGAAATGCTTTGCGAATTTGGCTACGTACCTTCCAAACAACATGAACTCAACACAAAGGCAATCAAAGATAAGCATGAGGAAATCAATGGTAAAAAGATACCAGGGTGTCAATGCTCAAAGACCTCAAGAACCAGTGCCGAGCAGCCACCAGAGCAAGAGTCGCCCTGAAGGTGACAGTTGTAGGCTCCAATGTGAAACTGGGCTGTGATGTAGATTCATGAGCCTGAGGACCAGTGAGCTGATTTACTGGGTACACAAACCCAAGTTAAGTTGCCTTTGTTACCCTAGAAACATTAAAAAAACACACACAGTTTGATTTTAAGTATCAGACAGGGTTAGGATCTAGAATGACTTTGTTGGAAGTGGAGCTGTGGCTCAAGTGTTAGAGTTCTAAGCCTTGGGTTAAAGAACTGAGGGACTGTGCCCAGGCCCAGAGTTCAAGCCCCACAACCAAAAAAAAGGAAAAACAATAGAATGATTTTGTTTTAAACAGCTTTTCCATTTCTATTACTATCCAGTAGGACTAATCATCGGATGAATGCAGAAGTGCTCATAGACAGTGGCATCTCATTCTTTATAGGACAATACACATCCCCACCCCACCCATGCAGTGCCAACCCAGACCAGCACCATTTGTTCTCAGAATATCCACAAGGTGATATATACCTATAATCCTAGTTGCTCAGCTCAGGAGGTAGAGGCAAGAGAATCACAAGTTCAATTCAGGCCTGGGAAAAGTTTGAAAGATCTTATCTCAGAAGCAAATACAAATGAGAGAGCTGGGAGCCTGGCACAGTGGTAGAGCTCTTGCCTAGAATGTGTGATCCCCAGCATACCCAACGGGCTGGAACCAAGCCCTTGAGAAGCACTGAGATAATAGAGACATTTCTCCTTGCATCTCCGCTTTTGACCCTGCCCCAAGGAGCCAACGGTGTTTGCAGAGCTCAGACTTGTCATTGGCTTACACAATTTGTTTCCATGGTGCCTACATTGCTTACAATACAATCTGTATTTCTTAACAGGGCCTACCTACAAAGACGTACATGATCCTACTTCTGTGAGCCTCCTCAGCTTCATTTGCTGCCATAGCCTTCATCCACCAGGGTCCAACACTTAAATCAACCAGACTCCTCCCTTCAGAGAGCCTGCTCTAGGCCTGGGGCATTTCCCATCCCCTAGCTCTTCCAGAGGCCTAAGTGTTCTCCTTTAATAAAGGCCATTTTTGTGGGGGAGAACCTTCTCATACCTGCCATTTTTCCTCTTAAGCTGTTATCAGTCTTCTATTCACATCCCCACTGAACTTAATCATCAATGAGATGGAGAGAGAAGAAAGGCAACGTGGCATAGACCTTGGTTTCTATCTTCCCTACTACAGTATAAAAGCCCCTGGGGATAAAAATATATGAACTTTTCTGTTTTCCACTCCCATGCCCAGTACATAGCACACAGACGTCCGTTAACTTTCTTGTGTATTTGTAAACCTATATTACTTGGCTTGCATTACAAAAAAAAAAAAAAAAGACCACAGATTGGGTGGCTTAAACAATAGAAGTATAATTTCTCACAAGTCTGGAGTCTATAAAAGTTCCGAAGACAAAAGAATCAGCAAGGACCCTCTGGTGAGGGCCAGGGCCTGACAGACACAGTCTTCTGTATCTTCACATGGCCATGGGACATGTCTTCCTCCAGTCATAGCAGAGGAGGTCATCCTTAGGATTTTCTTTAACCTTTGTTTCCTCCTAAGGCTCTATCTCCAGATAGTCACATGGGAGGCGGGGGTTTAAATAGCTTCTGTATTTGAAACTTGGGCGTCATGCAATTGGGTCCAGAAGATGATCAACAAGTTCTAGTTCATAATGGTTGTGATATGGTTTTTGGTTTTTTTTTTGCTGCTCACAGTGGGTAAAGCCTCTATAACTCTTCTGGCTTTCACAGCCCTTCTGGCTTCACAGTGAGTAAAGACCACTAAAGTCACAGCCATGTTACAGGCAACATCTGTTTAGCACTGCTGCTGCTCATCAGAAGTCAATGCCTGCCAGTGTTGCAGCTCCACCGTTGGCAGCTGCGGTTGTAGCCTTCTTGGGTTCTTTTCTCAGGAAATGTATTACTAAGAAAAGAATCTCAGTCAAAAGCTATTGCTATTCTTTCTTAAGTGACTTGAGTGTAGGATTTTTGTATTTTTTTTTAATATCCTGTGCTCTGATTGGTTGTCCCTATGCAAATGAGGTATAGGACAACTAACCAATCAGAGAAGACCTCCTGAGTTACTGAGGGTTTCCAGACCTGAAACGGTAGTTCTAGTTAGGTTTTTCTCCTGCACCTTCTACATTTCCCAACTAGAAAGGATGGAGTTAGGGCATTCTATGGTTTTGTGGCTGGGATTTTTTTATACAATTTCCACAGTTGGGTCTCAAGTTTACCAAGCCAAGAAATGTTTTCTCAAATTGCAAAGTGTTCTCCAGGGACCCTGGGCCCTAACTAATCTACTGAACTTTTTAACTAAATCTACCCTTTCTGTTGGATGTGTAATCTATCCTGAAGGCCATGTGATTTTAGCCAAGACTTTTAATACCTCTGAGCCTCTGCTGTACTCTCTAGAGACACATGTGGTGCATATACCTACCAGCAGTAGTAAGCCTCTGCTTCCTGTGCTTTCTTTTTTTTTTAACCCCTTTATATTTCTCTCATTTCCCCAATCTGGTATTTAGAGGCTTGTCCTGGATTGTATTACAAAGCTATAGACCACAAGAGGAGGAGAAAGAAAGATTAAATAAGACTAATTAAAAAGGGGGGAAAAAAAACAAAAAACAGAACAGTGCTTCTCCCAGAAAGAAAGAGCACTGAAAGGAAAGTGCTTATTTTCCTGGAAAAAATATGACAGGTGTTCATTTCTGTCTCTAGAGAAAGAGGGACCCAAGAGGGGACAAAATAGCCTGATTTTCTTTTTTCCTTATACATTTTTTTCCCATGAAAGTGCATGTGAAGAAACATGAGTGGTTCAAGGATTCAGAATACTAGTGTTAGAAAAGACAAGTATGATGGCCAGCCCAGGAATGTTCTGCCTGGGCCCCAAGGTGAAATATACAGGACCCAGAATCCCCAGGAAATTATTTGCAAATGTATAGATGTTGGCACAAGTATACCCCCTGAGGCAGGCTGTTATTACTTACCTTACTGAGCCCACTGAGGCCCAGAGGAGTGAAATAGCTTGCAGGAATGGAGGCCGGTCATCTGGAGGACTGTCTTGTCCACACCACACTGACCCTTGACCCTGCAATGGTGGGGGAGGCCAAGACTTACCCAGCCTCATAGACACATAGTTTGTGGTTAGATATTTTCTCTTCTTTCCTGCTTAGCAAACTTCCACCAACTACAGGGGAGCTAGTCTGCTTGGCCCCAGTACTGTCTGTGTGCCCTCTACTAGCAAAGAGATTGAGAGGACTGAGGTTTGACACCAGTCCTGGAAAAAAGTTTGAGAGATTCTCATCTCAGCAAATAAAAAAAAAAACAGTGACATTCGTCTATCATTCCTGCAAGGCAGAGAGGCATAGCAGGAATCCTATTTAAGGAGGATCATAGTTCAGGCCCAGCCTTGATTAAAAAAACAAAAATACAAGAACCTATTCAAACTATAATTAAAGCAAAAAATGCTGAGGGCATGGCTCAAATGACAGCCCCCACACCCCTGCCTAGCAAGCACGAATCCCTGATTTTAAACCCTAGTACCACCTGTAGATATGGTACGGGAAAAAATTGAATTTTAATAGATACTACTACATTTCCTATATGTCAATTTATATTTCCATAAAGGGCTGAGAGAGTGCCTATTTCCCCATACTCTGGCCAATATTAAAATAGTGCCAAACTTTTATTCAGCAATTATGATTATAGACTTGCTCTGCTCATTCATCTGTGCTGTACACAGAGTGAACAGGCAGAAAATTTTAATCTCACAAAACATACAGGGTGCTGACACAGCCCAGAAATGACAGAGTGTCACACGTGCTAAGTGCCCTGCTTAGTGAAACAATGCCTGGGAAGAAAGCACACTGGGAAGAGCAAAATCCAATCTGTGGGGCAGAGATGCCATCCCCAATGCATGGGGCAAACCAGTAAGAGAAAGAGGTTCAGACCTGTAAACTAGCCAGGAGGCCCCACCTCTGTGCCCAGGTATCAGGCTGTGGGGTTGCTGGATTGCAGCCTGTGGCTGGCTTGCAGCCTGTGGCTGGTGAGGATTATGGTACCTCATCTGCATCCCCACATCAAAGTAGAGCACACATGGCCTTGGCTGTAATGACAGAGTGCTTGATTAGCAGCCTGGAATGTGCAGATGAGGTGTCTGCTGGGCCCAGGGCTCACACACAACCAGAAGGATCCTCATCCCTCAGTGGGGCTGACACATGCAAAGCCCTGCACAGCCCGTCTGAAGCATGGCTTGTCTGGGGACAACGTTAGAAGAAAGTGAGGTGACCTCATCTCTCCCTCCTCTCTGCAGAAGAAGTCTCCCCAGAGAGAGACCATAGAGATGGGGGGAGGGGGAGAGAAATCTTCATGGAACCGGCCAGTAATGAGCTATGGTTATTTGCGTTGAGAATGGACACCATATTGCCAGTGGGAACCGCGCCCAGAATCCATATGGTGAAGTCTGTTAATGAGCTCCTGGTGCCCAGAGTGTGCTCCTGGCTTGACTTTGCCAGGCAGGCAGTGGCAGAAGGAAGCCAACGGCCTTCCTGCCGCTGTGCTAGCCTGGGCTGGTGTTTCTCTTTCTAACTTCTCCCTCCCTAATTTCCTAGTAACCCTCCCCACCCCTGCCCTATTACCTTGCCCCCACCCCAGGCAACCCCAGAAGCTCCCTCCCCTCCATCTCCAAAAGGACTGTGGTACTAGGAGCTGTGTGTAAGAGAGCCCCAGAGGGAAAGGAGAGGTCTCAAGGCAGTGACTCCTGTCTGCCTCACCTGCTTCCAGCACGTATTCATCAGTTGGGTTATTGCAGAGTGAGTTAGATAAGTTTATATACTTAACATAGTTTTCATTAAGTCAGGTCTCACAGAAAGAAACAAAAGGTCTTAAAAAGATTGCCTTCAAAGGGCTGAGAAGTTGGCTCAGTGGTAGAAGCGCTTGCCTTGCATGCCTGAGGCCCTGGGTTCGATTCCTCAGCACCACATAAGCAAAAGGAAAAAAGCCGGAAGTGGTGCTGTGGCCCAAGTGGTGGAGTGCTAGCCTTGAGCTGAAGAGCTGAGGGACAGCGCCCAGGCCCAGAGTTCAGGCCCCACGACCGGACCCAAAAAAAAAAAAAAAAAAAAAAAAAAGATTGCCTTCAAAGAGCTCTGATTCCAAGCTAAAACTAGTACAGATGCAAGCCTGGCACATAAGTGCTGGAGCTGATACCTCACCAACTTGCAGATCTGTCACCACATCATCCTAGCTACTCAAGGTTGAGACTTGGAGGATTACAGTTCAAGGCCAGCTAAGGGAGTATAGTCCTGGAGACTTTATCTCAACTTAATCAGCAAAAAAGATGCTGGTGGCATGGCTTAAGCGGTAGGGTACCAGTGATGAGCCAGAATGCCAGGAGAGAGCACAAGGCTGGTGCTGGCAAAAACAACAAAACCAGCAATGTGAACATTATCAAATCAGACATGCTGTCAGGATGGTAGAAGGTTAAGTTTGATGACTGTGCACCTTACCCCTAAATATATATATATATATATATATGTATATATATATGTATATATATATATATATATATATATATTCACACACACATATACATGTAGATATAGTAGTTTTAAGGAATAGCTGGTAATATTACTTAGCCACACTGACCAAGAAAGAAACTGTCAACTAGATCATTTATATTGCTTAATAGTCTGTAAATGCTATGTAAATCATTGTTATTCTGTTTTGGTTAGGAAATAGTGCCTAGAACGAAGTCTGTTCAATTCATGCAGTTATTTTTTCCCAAATATTTCTATCTTCAGTTGGTTGAATTAATCAATGTGGAGCTTGTGGATATGAGGGTCATATATAGTAGAAAATACGGAGTTTTATTATTAAACTTTTGTCACATCTTTTTAAAGCTTCTATTCCTACATATATATATATATATATATATATATATATATATACACATATATTTTATATTTTTATTTTTGCAGTCCTGGGGCTTGAACTCAGTGCCTGGGCACTGTCTCTGACCTTCTTTTGCTCAAGGCTAGCACTCTACCACTTGAGCCACAGCTCCACTTCTGGCTTTTTCTGATTATGTCATGCTGAGGAATTGAACCCAGGGCTTCATGCTTGTTAGGCAAGCACTCTACCACTAAGCCACATTCCCAGTCCTCTTGAACACACACACACACACACACACACATTGTTTTTGTTTTTTTTTTCAGTCGTGGGGCTTGAACTCTGGGCCTCAGCTCTTCAGCTCAAGGCAAGCTCTCTACCACTTGAGCCACAGCTACACTTCTAGTTTCTGATGGTTAATTGGAGATAAGAGTATCATGGACTTTCCTGCCTAGGCTGGCTTTGAACTGCGATCCTCAGATCTCAGCCTCCTGAGTAGCTATGATTACAGGCGTGAGCCACCGGTGCCTGGCTTGCATATATTTTTATACATGTAATAAATTTATATGAATCCAAGGTAAGCAAATAGAATATAAAATGACTTCTCATTAATGTTGGCCTAATTGCTCAAAAATATTTTACCAAAGTAGAACATTTTCAAAAACTTGGGTAGCCACCGGTCTGAAAACTGAAGCCTTCCCATCAAGACACACTTGACTTTAAGAAAAACATACACATTTGCTTTCATTGTAGAAATAAGAGCTAATAGAAAGAAAGGTTAGGCCCAGAATGAGAAAGGGTAGAAGATTGGCACACATGAAGGATGTAAAAGTGGACTGGATTTTGCCACCATCTTCCTAGAACTTCTGTTCTCTGTTGAAGAGGAGAGCCATATGCCTCCATCCTCCAAGTGTGGGCCAAGCATAAGGTGGGCTATAGTAAGGCTAATGCAGCTTCTAAAAGGCCTGAGTGTGTTCCCCTTAGATTCTGGATCTCTCCTGGCTCCCTCCATTGGGAAACAAGACCCAGGGAAGGAACCCACCTTCCCTGTATCTGGAAGAAGATGGCGCTTTGGAAACAGCCAGAGTAGCATGCAACAAACCAGAGGGCACTGCCAAGGCAGAAGCCAAGACGAGCAAGTGCAGCTTTTGTTGTGCCTGTATTTAGAGCACATATTCTTAGGTTGGGTAATTTTCCAGCTATTTTACTACTCCTAGAATGCATGCTACTCCATGTGACTTCTGAGAGTTCTTTGGTCACAAAATGAAGATGTGAATTGTCCAGGTCATCCACTTCTATGAGAGCTAAGGTTTGAGACCTACATCAAAGTTCCATCTCTGGAGCTGGGAAGGTGGCTCAGTGGTAGAGCGCTTGCCTTGCATGCATGAGGCCTGGGTTCGATTCCTCAGCACCACATAAGCAGAAAAAGCCGGAAATGGCGTTGTTGCTCAAGTGGTAAGGTGCTAGCCTTGAGCTGAAGAGATGAGGGACAGCACCCAGACCCAGAGTTCAGGCCCATCGACCGACAGATAGAAAAAAAAAAAAAAGTTTCATCTCTGACCTGCTGCTGAAAGGCATTTTCCAAGAATCGGTGCTCCTTTAGTTCTGTGGGCCTCCTTCTGTGTCAGGGCAAAGTTGGATGGTGTGTTACACTTCCAGCCCAGTGACTGGGCTGATACATGGCCCTAAGCAAGTCTCTTCCTTTTGCTTTACATCTCACTTTTTCCATCCATTTTCCCTTACCGGCTTTGAGACAGTTCTTAAGATTGCAGGAAATCCCTTAAAAATGGAGGGGGAATTTGTTAGGAAATGGAAAGACCTGGAAAAAATTATATTAAGTGAAGTAAGCCAGCCCCAAAGAAACATAGGTCCCATAGTTTCCCTTATTTGCAATAACTAGTATATGTCTAGGACAAGCAGAAGAGGTCAAAGCTATGTACATATGAAGACATAAGATGATGCTAAGTGAAACAAACCCCAGGATAGAGACACAAATGGTTTTATCTTTCTTGCTGTTGTTTTTAATGCACTTATAATGTACCATAAAATTTTTTTGTTTCTTTTGTATGTTCTTCCCCCATAGTATAACCCCTGTTTTCACTATATTTGATTCATTGTCCTGAATCTTCTAGATACATTTTTCTAATTTGGGGAGGGAAAGGGAAATAACAAAATGCTGAAATAAGGATACAGGTTGACCCATTGTAACAGTGAGATGTACAAGACAGTACGTTGAAAACGAACTTTACGACTTTGGTAGTGGAAAAACAAAGGCCGAGATAACAACGCTTGATAGGAAATGTACTCAGGACCTCACTTGTGTAGCTGTAACCCCTCTGAATAGTATTTTTACAATAAAAAATATATACAAAATGGAGAGGAAAATGGCTTAGAGATGCTTTCTAACATGTGAGGGTATTTCTTCCTTTCATAGATCTGTCTCCTTATTTGATGGCGATAAGAATAATGTTCTCTGCTCTGAGTCTCATTCATTCTCCTGAACTTTAGAAAAGTCTGAGCAGAAGCACAGAAAGCCTGATCCTTAATTTTATCAAGTTAGCTATGAAGACACAAAAGGGATCCAGAGAAGGCATTTGTGCCCTTAGGTGTGGCATGACCCAGCCTTGGCTTTGGGACCTAGACAAGCCATGGAAGCATACCCATAAAGTTGCTTCTGTTTTCTGGATCACATATTTGTCCTTCTTTCTTACAGGTGATTCTTCATCCCACTCCAAACAGTCCCAAACAGTCTGAGTGGCACAAAATGACTGTCTCTAAAAACTGCCCAGATCAAGATCTCAAAATCAAACTTGCCGTCCGAATGGATAAACCTCAGAATATGAAGCATTCTGGGTAAGTGGTAATTTGGAGCACATGTTCACTCATTTCTCAAGACTTCAGTAAAACAGGCAGACACTTCCATAACATATTCAAGACTCTGGGTTCAATACCCAGCCCTGAAAGATAACTTGAACAAAACCAAAACTAATCCTCAGAGAACATCATGGAAGAAAATATAAAGGCTTCTCGAGAGATTATTACAATATTTGACCTTGATATACATCCTTAGTTCTTATGATTACTGTATTTTCCTTTTTACCATCAAGAAAGAATAATTTTCCTTTTTTCTATCAGAGGATAACCAATACAATTAAAATATTGATAGAAGTATTTAAATGCGCTATGAAAGCTTTCTAGTTCAATGCCAGTCAAGGCATCTAAGGGTTATTTGCTTATATTGTAATTGACAAGCCTCTCTACCAAATGTGAGCAATTACTGCAACCACCTTTGAACAATCTATATTTAAAATGTTTTAGAGTTTAATGTTTTAGAGTTTAAATGAATGGCAAATTTTTTTGATTGAATGACCAATTAAGTAATTTCAGATACAGCAGTAAGAATTGGTAAAGTATAGCTTTATTTTAGAGAACAAAGCACCGATCTATACTGAAAATGTTTGTTGATGACTGATTAGACTCTGAGAAGTGACCTATTGAGCTAAATTTCTGAGTTCTACTATCTCAGAAAATGTGATTCCTCTGCAGGAGTTGGGTAGTGTGTCTATGCATACAAGAATGTCTACACAGTTGGAAGAAATAGGTGGATTTTCAGGTATTCTATTGGTACTATTCTGCATAACCTCCACATCATCAGAAAGGTCATCTTAATTGTCTTGGGCAATGTGTTTAGGATAGGACTTAAAAAGGCAATGTCAATATAAAAACTAAGGATTGACTGCACAGAATGGAGGTTTGCAGGATTCAGAAACCCATTATCAAGGCCTTGCTACAGATTAAAAAGAATTTAAACAGAATCCTATGAGAAGCCCAGGAATGAATGTACACAGGATTGGAAGCAGACCACCCAATGAATGAGCAGACCATATCAGCATGCATTCAGAATTTCTTCTTGTAGGACTCACAAGTTCTAAGGAATGAATAAGTCCCAAGGAAAGGTAGACCCATACCAGTCAGGGTACCAGAAAAGTTCAAGGAATTAGGAGGCTTCAAAGCAAAGATACCTAGAGACCAGTTACTCAAACTATGCTCTGGCTTGGACACTGCCTTTTTAAGTTAAACTTAAAATCATTTTATTGGTTCCATAGTAAGAGAAAGGATGATTTTTGAACACAGAACAATATCATAGCTTAGGGAGTGGTAGGGAAAAAGAAACTTTTCAGAAGCAAGGCTGAGATTATAAATTGCATCCACTTCAATGTGTGAAAGAGAAATCAGAATTACTGAGAATTACTCCTTCATGGTGTGAGGTAGTTCCTTAAATAATTCACTGGGCCATTTGGAATATCTTTATTGAATAGAAAACACCAATGAGGAAACTCAAGCATTGTTTGGCCCTTAAAATATTCGTATCTGCACCCATTTGAGAATTAGCAACTCCAAGGTTTTTCACCTAATTTCTCCTCTTTTGCTTTTATATGGTACAAGGGTTGCTAAAAGAGACCACAACATGGTACAGGAAGAAGAGTCTATTGGGAGTACCAAACCACCAGCCTGCACCAGATGTAGGTGTGCAGAGCCAGAACTAAGGGCGGAGAGGGATTATATAGGGAAAGTTGAGGAGGAGGTGTGGCTGCATTGGATGTGAAAGTGACCTCAGAGCCCGAGGGAGACTCTTTTGCTGACTCACAATCAGGTGATTGATAGTCAGGTGATTGAGAGTTACAGGCGACTACCAGTTTTGGGCAGGTGGTTTCTGGAAAGGCTATGTGCTGTCCTTCATGAAGAAGAAGCAGGGAGGGAATTTCAGGAATTATATTCCCATCCATTTCCTCTTTCCTTCACTGAAAAATCCTCTCATCATCCTCCTACCTGTAATAAACCTTCATTCAGGTGCTCAGACCCACAGCCTTGGAGTCATCTTTGACATTTCTCATTCTTTCTTAACACCATCTTATCCATTATCAAATTGTTTTTACTTCACCTTCAAAATGCACCTAGAACTCAACCCTTCAGTCTCCAATGGAAACAGAATCTCCCATTACTTTTCCCAATCACTTGTTGTTTTTGTCTTAAAAGCTGACCCCTTCTTTTCTTTTTTTTTTTTCTTCCTGTGGTAGGTTTTCTTTTCTTTATTTTCTGCCAGTCCTAGAGCTTGAATTCAGGGGCTGGGCACTGTGCCTGAGCTTCTTTTGCTCAAGGCTAGCACTCTACCCCTTGAGCCACAGTTCTACTTCTGGCTTTTTCTGTTTATGTGGTACTGAGGAATGGAACCCAGGGCTTTGTGCATGCTAGGCAAGCACTCTACCACTAAGCCACATTCCCAGCCCCTTGTAGGGTATTTCTCAAGGACATTTATTTTTTAATATAAATCTGATCCTTGTACTTGATTTAAGACTCTAACCTCAAAAAAAACCTCTCATAAATTCCCATCTCTTTCAGAGTAAAGACCAATGACATTACCATAGCTCCAAGGCCCTACTTTCTGACCTTGATCACTGTCCCACCACCTGGCTCTACCTGACCTTCCTCAAAAGCTCCAACTATACCCTAGATCAGAGCTCTTAACATTTCTATGTAGATGCTTAGATACCTCTTTTCCCCAGCCCTCTCACCCAAATGCCCTTGATCAAGGTCTGGCTGACCTTGGCTCTGCCTGTCTCTGAAGCTTATCAGAATGTCTTACTTGCCCTGTTCACGAATCATTTCAAAGTTCTTTCCCCCCCTTCTCCCTCCAACTTTTTTCCTTCCACTATCCTTCTTCCCCATGCTTTTGTCTAGAGCTCTTATCATCATCTATCATGTATTTCTGTCTTGTCTCTCTTGATCACAGATTTCCAGCGCCTGTCAGATTGCAAAAGTCTCATCAATTGTTTGTTGTACCATTATATAGGTGAATGCCTGAATCCTTACTTTATAGACAGAAAAACTGAAGCTAAACATGGCAAAAAAAAGATTTGTCCAAGAAAAAAACCTCTGTGGATATACAAGTTATAACTCTCAAAAGCTCCTTTTTTCCTCTATTTTCTCGGATGAGCCACTGTCCTAGACTTCTTGTTCCTCAAAGCATCATAGACTCCTGTCTCCTACCCAGATCTCCAAGACACAAGGCTCTCCAAACCCAACTGCTGAACTAGGCCACTCCAGTACTCTTAGCATGTCATCAAGTTGTTTGATAATATTGTTTAAATATTCTGTCCTAACTGGATTTACCTCAATTTTTTTAAAAGGGATTTCAAAATCTCTGGTCAAAATTTTAAACTTGGTTTGTTTCTTTGTACTTCTGTCCAGTGAGACCCTGTTTCTAAATACATACATACAAACTTACTGCTTTTATGTAGGCAATATTTCTTTGGGTCTAACTTTTTTAATTTAATTAAATTGTTTGACTTTTAATTGTGATATTTAGCCTATTTATATTTAATGTGATTACTGGTATGGTTAAGTTTATTTATTTATTTTTGGGGGGGTCCGGTCGTGGGGCCTGAACTCTGGGCCTGGGCGCTGTCCCTCAGCTCTTTAGCACAAGGCTAGTGCTCTACCACTTGAGCCACAGCGCCACTTCCGGCTTTTTTTCTTTTTGCTTATGTGGTGCTGAGGAATCGAACCCAGGGCCTCATGCATGCAAGGCAAGTGCTCTACCACTGAGCCACCTTCCCAGCCCCCAGTATGGTTAAGTTTAAATTAAATGTCCTGCTGTTGTTCATCTTATCATTTGTGTCTCTTGGTCCTTTTTAATCTTTGTTTCCTTTCTTTCCTCTTTTTGCAGCATCCTTTCAGATGAACTTGATTTTTTGTCATTACATTCTGTCTTGTTTATTGTGTTTTTCTCTCCTAATAGTAATTTGATGGAATCTCTGTACAGCCACCTCCTAGCCACAGGCAAACTGCCTACAGGAAGCACCAACAATGCTTATCTTAAAAAAGTTGTAGGAATTCCATTTGCTTTTAATGTAAAACATCATGAAGGTCTAATTTGTGGCAAGAGCTACAGACATACAAGAGGTGGTGTAGGTGGTGGTGGCGGTGGTTTTCGTGGTGGTAGTGGTGGTGAAGGTGACCATCACTGTTACTTAGCTTTATCCATTCCTGGTACTTTTCCTCATTCCTGCTGGGATTCTACTTGATGATGCAGGCACCTGCTGCCTCTCTTCCTTCCTTGTTCTCCCTTACTTCACCAGGAGGGGAGGAGAAGCATCCCAGGGGACTCTCGTCTCACTTTTAACTTCTCCTACAAGAAATTCTCTAACAAGGAAGAATAAATTCAAGAGATCTGTTGTACAACGCGACCACTGTGGTTGCTAGCCATGTGTTGCATGCTTGAAAAGCAGTGAGAGTAGATTTTATGTATTCTCACCATTAAGAAATGAATCATGTGTACAGTCATAATCTGTTAATTAGTTCAAGTTAACCATTCTACAGTGCATAGGTATTTCAAATCATGCTGCTAAGCATCATATCATAAATACATATAATTGTTGGTGTTGGTGGTGGTGGTAGTAGTGGTGGTCATGGTGGATGCATCGTGGATGCTGTCCCTGAGCTCTTTTGCTGAAGGCTAGTGCTCTACTCCTTGGAGCCACAGCTCCACTTCTAGTTTTCTGGTAGATAATTCGATAATCATGCCTGGGCTGGCTTTGAACCATGATCCCCACATCTCAGCCTCCTGAGTAGCTAGGATTACAGGTGTGGCTACCAACACTCAGCTAATACATACCATTTTTGTTAGAATAAAAGATAGAAATCATAAAGTCATAAAAAAAAGAACTGATATACCAGGGACCTAAGAAAAGCAAACATAACACCTCCTCCTCAAGATTGGACTCACTCTCTACCAAGAGCACAGTAGCCCCAGTGCCAGCAACTGCTGGCTTAAGGATCTCAGATAAAATACTGATCTATGTCTGCATTCTATGACCCTTCATTCACCTTCAACTCATGAGGTGCTGAGGGGCAATTAATTCTAAAACATTTCCTTTTCTTCCACTTGATAACCATGCTTAGGCATCCCAAAAGAAGACACCGAATTTAAATTTTTCTCACCGAGTTCTGATGGCTCATTCCTGCAATTAGAGATTTGGGAAGCTGAGATCATATTGGAAGGATCACAGTTTGAGACCAGCTTGGGCATCTATATAAGACTTCAACCAATATCGGAGTGTAGTGATGCATGCCTGTCATCCTAGCTGTATGAGAGGCTGAGATTGGCAGGACTGTGGTTTCTGGCCAGCCTGTGCAGAAAAGCTCATGAGACTCCATCTTAACAGAAAGAAGCTGGGTGTGGTAGTATGCACCTGTCATCCCACAGAAAGCTTAAAATACATGGTCTGGGCACATGTCTAGGCAGGATCCAAGAACCTATGTCAAAAATAAGTACTAAAAAAAAGAAAAAGAAAAAAATCTGAAGGTGTGGCTCAGCAGTAACGTGTCTGTGTAGCAAGCATGAGGGCCTAAATTCAAACCCCAATATTGCACCAAAAGAGTCTTTATGAGTAAGTGCTAATCACACTATAAACATATCCAGGGATAAGTATAATGTATACCTCATAAATGGAGCCATTGCCATGGGTGCTGTGCTACCAGATAGTCCTAGGACAAAGGACTCTGAGGCTAGTGGTTGTCTAAGAGTCACCAGTCTTTTTGTCCTTGGCTAGCTCAGATGCCCTCAGTAAATGTCAAGAATGCCAGTACCCCATTGGCATGAGGTTTTATAAATGCTAAACGGACATTGGAGCCATGTTATAAAACATGATACAGAGCTCCACAAACCATACATGAGCACTTCATTTTATTTCCCAACACATGTGCATCGCGATCAAGAATCCAACGATAACTGCGTTGCAAAAGTGTTAATTCTATACTCTTTCCAGCAGGACTACTATTTCTGCTACTATTAAGAGGGATGAGCTGAGCAGGGTGGCTCAAGCCTGTAGTCCTAACTACTTGGGGGACACAAAGATGGGGGATCATGGTTCTAGGTCAGCCCAAGCATAAAAGTTCATGAGACTCCATCTTGACCAATGTATCTGGGAACAGCAGCATGCATGTGTTAGCCCAGCCACAGAGGAGCAGAGACAAACAAGAGGATTATGGCTTAGGCTGGCCCTGGCATAAAAGTGAAAAACTTACCTTGAATATAGCCAGTGCAAAAAAAAGGGACTGGAGGCGTGGCTCAAGTGTAGAGCACCTTCCTTGCAAGCATGAGGCCCGGGCTTGAATCCCTGTACATTTTAAGGAGTGATGAGCTTGACAGAAATGATGCCTGACACTTACCAAACCTAGACTGTGTGCCAGTTGCCTGTGCTCCACACTACACATCATTTCTTTAAATTTTTTTAATTTTTAATTGTTATTATAAGGTGCTGTACAGAGCAATTACAGTTGCTTAAGTCAGGTCATGAGTACATTTCTCTTTAGACCTTGTCGCTCCTCTCGCTTTCTCTCAGTGGACATCATTTCTCAATGTCTTTACAACCTTATAAGGTTAAAAAACAAACATGTTATTAACCATTTTATAGCTATAATCCTACGCAGTTGGAAGAGTGGGGATCTGAGGCACAGGGCAGCTAAGCCAAAAAAGAGTTCATGGCAGGGTCGGAAGGCCAATCATGTATTTCTCCTCAGTCAGGCTGAGAGGTGATGACGTGGGACACGCGGCTCCTGACTGCCCCGCAATGCTGGTGTGCTCATGGGTCAGTCCAGATTTCCACAGCTCCAGACAAACTGAAGGCAGCATTGAGGCCTTGATGCTTGCACAGATCATGGTGTGTTGCCTGGGGTCTTAGGAGCAGAGTCTCCCTTGTGTCTGCAGTCTCAGATCACGAATCTGCTCCAGACACTAAAACTTGAGGGAACACTGAGGCACTGGGGCCACACAGACACACATAGGGCATTACAGCCCTCGCTTCTTCATTTTGACACCTTCTGGCCTGGGCCACCTTCCCAATGAATCCTGAAGAAGGCCTGGGGGAATGCCCCACCCTCTTGGAAGCCAAGTGATTTCCAAAGGAGAATTGTTGTTTGCTCAGATCCTTTTCCTGCCTGACCCCACCCCCTCCACCAACTTTCCCTTTCAAAAGCCTTTAAGCAGAAATCCTCTCTGTTAAATTAGAACCGCAATTTATTTTTTAAATTTGTTTTAAGTTAAATGTATGCTTATCACATGCATAAAAGCATTAAAAAATGTATGTATTTATGGGGTATCTGTGATGTTCCCATGTATGTATGCATTGGCATTTTTTTCCTTTTTACTGTAGGGAAGTTTGGTTGTGTGTGTGTGTGTGTGTGTGTGTGTGTGTGTGTGTGTGTGTGTGTGTGTGTTGGTACTGGAGCTTGAACTCAGGGCCTGAGTGTGTGTGTGTGTGTGTGTGTGTGTGTGTGTGTGTGTGTGTGTGTTGGTACTGGAGCTTGAACTCAGGGCCTGAGTGTGTGTGTGTGTGTGTGTGTGTGTGTGTGTGTGTGTGTGTGTGTGTGTGTTGGTACTGGAGCTTGAACTCAGGGCCTGAGTGTTACCCCTTACCTTTTCCACTCGAGACTGACACTTTACCACCTGAGCCACAGCTCCATTTCTGGCTCTTCGGTAGTTAATTGGTGAAAAAGAGTCTCCCAGATTTTCTTGCTTTGGCTGGCTTCAAAGATCCTTAGATCTTTAGATCTAAGATCTCAGCCTATTTACTGAGTAGCTAAGCTTACCAACATGAATCACTGGTACCCAGCTAAATGGTATCATGTTTAAATCAGGGTGAAGGTATCTCCAGAATTGATCATTTCTTTATGATAAACACATCCAAATTATTTTCCCCTAACTTTTTGAAGGGATTGTTTTTCATAGTGGCCCTCATTTGCAATAGCACACTGGAGCTTCCTCCTCCTGATGAGTTTAGTTACAAACCCTGTATTATTTTTTCAATAAAGAAATCTTTCCTGGATCTAGGATGGAGAAGGAAGGGCGTATGTGATGGATAGGCTGCTTCAGAATGAATCAGATCTGACTTTAAATGCTGATCATAGCTCTTAGCCATTGTAGAAGCCTAAGAAAGTGACTTGAACGTCTTATTCACTGGAAAATAGGAATATGCTATTATTATCATCATCATTATTATGTATTAGTAAGACATTATTATTATTATTATTATTATTATTATTATGAGGGACTTATTAGCCCCATTGTACATATAGAAGAGAAAACTAAGACAGAGATTAAGTGTAAGCATTTACCAAAGCTTGCACATTTCCCCAAACTCAAGCTCTTAATATCTCCCAATGTGTATAATAAATTAATATTCTGTGCCCCGATACCGAAAAAGTTAACAATTCAGTGTTAATTTCATTCCATGGCTTCTGTGAAGTCCTTTTTCTACTTTTGTTCTTGTCAGTTAAACAGATTAAACCGAACTAGAACAAAAAGATTATGTATGCTTAATGATTATATGTCAAAACTCTTCCTCTCTTTAGCCGAGGCCAGCCAGCTTTGTGTATCTATTTCTGTCTTGAAGCTGAAGAACACATAGCTGGCCCTGTTGGCCTCAGTTTATATCCACAGGGCATATAAACTTTTTAGACTACTTCTAATGACCACTGTCTCAACTTTGCTTCAGCCTCCATCAGCTTTTGATCAGATGACTGCTAGCATCATTTCTTCCTTGATATACTTTTTATCTTACCTCTTTCCCCTACACTGTGTTCTCTACCTAGCAGCCAGTGCAAGCATCTTAAGTAGAAATATAATTGCATCTTTCTCTGTCTCTCACTGTCTCTCTCCTTCCTTCCCTCTCTCTCCTGTACACACACACACACACACACACACACACACACACTCTCTCTCTCTCTCTTTTGTTCTTCCATCCTTTCATAGAATGGGTATTTTGGCTTAACCTTTCAGAAAATCTGTCTAGATGCTATATAACAATGCATGCTCTTCCCAATCCTCAGTTTTAGAACTCCCAGGTCTTTGCTGTGTTCATGAGTTCATGGGCCTTCTGACCTCTTTGTGTTGTTCATGGTGAAGTGTGGTAACAGTGCCGGTGGCTCACGCCTATAATCCTAGCTACTCAGGAGGCTGAGATCTGAGGATCACAGTTCAAAGCCAGCCCGGGCAGGAAAGTCCATGAGACTCTTATCTCAAATAAACCACTAGAAAACCGGAAGTGGCACTGTGGCTCAAGCAGTAGAGCGCTCGCCTTGAGCTGAAGAGCGTAGGGACAACACCCAAGCCCAGAGTTCAAGCCCCATGACCGACCAAAAAAAAAAAAAAATCAAATATTAACACAGCTCTGATCTCTCTCTTTTCCCCAGGTACTTGTGGGCCATCGGTAAGAACGTCTGGAAGAGATGGAAGAAGCGGTTTTTTGTGTTGGTGCAGGTAACTCTTCAAATCTATATTACTCTTAAGACCCAGAAGCATTAATACTGGGATTGGATGAACATTTTTTTCATCCATTGTGAGGCCTGAACTCAGGGCCTGGGCACTCACTGTCCCTGAGCTCTTTTGTTCAAAGCTAGCACTCTATCACTTTGAGCCACAGCCATACTTCCAATGTTTGAGTGGATAATTAGAGATAAGAGTCTCAGGGGAACTTGGCTGCCTGGGCTGATTTTTGAACTGTAATCCTTAGATCTCAGCCTCCTGAGTAACTAGGATTATAGGCGTGAGCCTCCAGCCCCCAGCAAACAATACTTTTTAATTGATACAGTCTACAAGCTCAATGAATTTACCTTATATAATATATATATATATGTATGTATGTACACACATGTGTATACAGATGTCATATCCATGAGATCACCCAGAGGGCTCCCTCTTGCTCTTTTTTCTATTTTGATGTCAATTTAATATTAAACACTACTGCATACTTGTTTTGTTTTTTAGCAATCCAGTCAAAAGTAATTGTGTTCTTTGGTAGCTTATAAAAACAAAACCAAGTTGTATTTTTAAATATAATTTTATTGTTATTATTGAAGTGTACAGAGGGGTTATCTTTCATAATTTTTTTTAATTCTCACAATATGTTAGTGTGTAAGGCAGAGGAGAGTACGTGCCCTACCCCTGCCCAGGTCTCTGCCAGAGAGAGAGAACCCCAAGAGGGAGCAAGCTAGTGTCTGATTAGAGCAGCAGGAACATTAACATTCTATTAATGTGCTATTACCAAAAGCACCAGGAACGAGAAGCGTTCATATTTAGTTTGGTAGAGGGTGGGGTTTTTGTATCTGTTTTATTGTTTAATACATCTGACTTTTAATTAAGTGTGGGGAGCATTTCACTGTCTTGATACTTGAGGGTTCGAAACATCTCAAACAACTTTACAGATAGGATGCTTTTTAAAAACCAAAGCTAACCCAACACTTCCTATTGTTCAATAGCTTCTTCATTCATGCAACTTCTTGTAGACATTGTTGCACCTTTGCACATGTGATGAACTTCAAGACTTCTTCAGTTTGGGCCATTATTAATAATGCTGCAAAGAACAACATCTGCATAGACATTATTAACAATGTTTTATAATATATTCGAATCATATATATGTTTTCTTGAGTATTTTGTTTTGCCAGTACAGTGGACACTCTTCATTAGCTTTTTTCTCAAGACTGCGCATTACCATTTGAGTCACAGATGAGATTCTGACTTTCTAGGAGTCAGCTCAAGCTGACTTCAAACCAGAATCCTCAGATTTCAGTATCCTGAGTAGCTAGGATCATAGGCCTGCTTGCCAGTGTCTGGCATTTTGAGTCTTTATAAGAAGGTTTCCTCTAGAAATAGTAATACTTGTCCTCAAAAGGTCTCCCTTCTTTAAAAAAAAAAAAAAAGTGTTTGTTTGTGGTTGCTCCTGCTGTTGTTTAGTTGGTTTTTACATCAGGATTTTTCAGTTTACAAAGGAATTTCTCTTTGCCTCTTTCTAATATTTAGGCTCAGAGCATTTATACCATAAATCAAGTTGCAGAATTTTGATTCATGCTGTACTCTGAAAGATGCCACAAAGCAAGCCAATGTGTAATTGAGTGATGAGTGATGCTTACTGGGTTACTTGGCTAGTATTTAGGGCATCACCAACTCTGAAGTCTCACTAGAAAGCAGCTCCTTCTCAGAGCTAAATGACACTTAATACTTATATTCCCATAATTCATCTACCACACCCCCCACATACCCAATCTATGTTTTTCTTTGTCACAGAGCTACTAAAACTGAGGTTTCCTTCTAGTGCTACTCCTTGGGAGAGCAAAATGATGGGTAAGAAAGGGACTTCTTGCTACCCAGGACATCCCTCAAAAAGGTGTTGAACCAAAGTAGTAATTTTCATGTTCAAGGATGAGGGTTGAAATTATAGACATGACCAGAGCACGCTCTACTTGCCAATTGTGAAGGAAATGAAGCAGTTGTAGGAGGTGGGAAGGAGGATTCTGTCTCTGAATACTTTGTGCATGTTAATGCCCTCTGAGATAATTGATGCTTAATGCACTCTAATGTACCATGAGACCATGTTCTCCTGGTATAGGACTCGTCCATTTGTATTGGATACTGGTTAATAGGCAGATCCTATGGTGCCTTCAAGAAGACTCTGACATAGGAGGTCTGAGTTGGAGGCCAGCCATCTTTAGTTTTGATAAAACACTCCAGAAAATACTGATGCAAGTGGTTGAAACACCCTTGAAAAAACACTGCACTGAAGCTCACCACCCTGCTTGAAAGGAGTGGATTCATTCTTTCCACACTGTACTTTTCCATTGTCTATGTTGTGCATGGAATTGAGTGTCTCAGCAGATGATTCCATGAAAGTGGCAGGACATAGTCTCTCCAGCCGTAGTCTTAGCAGTTCCAGTATAGTCTTAGTGGACTTAACTGCAGACCTGAACCCAGAAATAAAAGGGAAGTGAAGCCTTAACATTCTGAGCTAAGAAATTGCAGGGGATTTATTCTAAATCTGCAAGGACCACACATGCTGATTTCTACTGTTAGTGACTCTGACATCAGGAGCTCATTGATGACGATGAGAATTCCAAGTCCACAGAGTCAGAACTCCCTACCCTGCATGGAGAAGCGGAGAAACAAAAGCCAGCCAGCGGTTACCATTCCAGGACACAAAGTGTCACCTCTATTACCTTTTTTATTTAAAAAAATTTCTTCCATGCTGAATAATTTTCTTGTTATAAAATCAAATGTTAATTGATCCTCCAAGCACTACTGGAACATTTGTCCTCATTTTAGCACTGTCAAATTGTATTTCTGGTTTCTTCTAATAATGCCAATAGTGATTTCTATTTTTATGGTCCTTTGAAGTTTACCAGTTATCCATAAAGCTGTTCTTCACAAGTTTTTTGTACCGTATAGAGTGAGGGACAAGCCTTTGCCTGATTACCCATAAATTGAAATGGAGGCCAAAAGTAGTTAAGTGGCCTACTCAAAGGTAATGGATGTAGACAGCCAACTGTGGAACCTAGCCCAGGTCTTCTGTGACATTAAACATGTAAGAGAGTGCCCCAAGACAATATACATATAGACTACTTTAGATCACATTTACTTTAAGAGGTAAGGAATTCATTTACTATGGATTGCAGAAAATAATGTGGTCCCTAATACATATCTTCTGTTTCTGATTTGCTACAGTCATTGTACTAATCTCTACTTCATTTTTTAGGCATGATACTAAATCTGGATGAGATAAAAGTATGATTGGAATGCTTTGGGATATGGCAGTGTTTAATATTATATTGAGGGTATAATATTAAAGTAAGTTAAACCACAGAAATGAATTGAAAGACATTCAAGTAGTTGAATGATTCCTAAGTGTGAATGATTCCTAAGTGTTTTCCCCACTCAAATCCACAATTGCTATATAGGGCACTTAGTTTGTATTCTGGTTATAAGTGTCTAAAACCAACCCAAATTACTTTTATGAATTTAGTTTGTTTGTTTGTTTTTCAATGCTAGGGATCAGACCCAGGGTCTAGAGCAGTTAAGGTGTTGTTCTAAGCCTCACCCTTAGCCCTCTGCCCTGAGATTCCTATTCAGTTGGTCTGACTTACAGAATCTACATTTTTGGGGCTAAGGACAATGGCTCAAGTAAGGTCCTGAGTTCAAAATTCAGTACCACCAAAAATTGCAACCTTGTAACTTAAATACACATACTCTGATGCAAATGGAAACTTAAGATCCACTTATTTAGAAACCTCTCTCTACTTTAAAGAAGAGAGACGAGCCAAAGTATATCTGGTATATTAGAGGTCCAGCCACTTTCAAAAGAAAACCTTAGTGGCTTCCCTCAGGAATCCCAACAGCCAGGCCATGGTTCCAGGATGGGACAGATGTAGCTAAAGATCCCAGTGATGTCAAGTATGCAGTTCTTTAAGCCTGCCCTCCTAAGGATGTGGTCAGGGGTCTGCTCCTCATCCTATTGTTCTGGCCCAGCATCTTGGACTTCTGACACGAATTCTAAGCTGCCAAATGCCTAGAACACTGTTCACTGTCTCCATGACTCCATCAAAATATAACTTAGGACTAGGGATGTGGCTCCGTGGTATAGCATGCATGAGACCTATTTTTTCTCCCCAGCCCCACCAAAGCAAAAAAGTACAGTTTAATGATATTTCTACCATAACAGAAAAAATATAGCTTTCACCTAGTGAAAGCATCAAAAACTTTCCAAGTCTTTGTTATCCCTCCATCCTTCAAACATGTTAAAATACTCCTGAGGGACCAATTCCCATTTCTTTACCAATGCAAACCACCACCCTTTGCAGATCCTGACTTGGTATAACCAGAAGAGGGCAGCAGCAGACAGCACTATAAGAAGAAAGCCCCTAAAACCAGAAAGAAAGCAAAAGGCCCAAACAGTGTAGTCATAGTAAATGCATGAATCTCGAAATAATACCCTTTAATGCATGAATCTCGAAATAATACTCTTTTGGTTTCTGATCTCAAGTGAGTTGCAACACCTCTCTGTTTGTCTCATTACATTAACACACTATTTTATCTATCTCTCTGTTGCCAGATGAAATATCAGGTATAAGTCACCACAGAAGTGTTTTAGTGTCTATACTCACTGTGATTGCAGTGGACATAGGAAAAATCCATTTTCCCATAGAACCAATCATAAGCCAAGTTCTATCCTTGGAGTGATATGTGCATTTTGGAGAGGAACTTCTTTTTATTGTATTATGCATGCTTACCTCTCTAGAACAAATCAAACTGAATTAGTGAGTGCCCATTGTGTGAGGTCTTGTTAATGGAGGTGTGAATAGAACCAAGACTAATGAAGCCCAAAGCCTTCTATAAAAGCATTGGTGATTGAGAAGGCAAATACATAGTGAGTTACACACTATTAGAATATTAGTGAGTGTGCCCTATGAAAGTAGGAAAGTGGGAGGGGTTGGGCTGGGAGGAATAGGGGAGAATGATTAAAGGGGGGAACCCATCAAGATACATTATACTTACAAACTGACATGTTGAATAGTAACCCCTTTGTACCACTACTTAAAGATAATAAAAATATAATTAAAAATAAAGCACTTTAGGACTGGGAAGGTGGCTCAGTGGTAGAGCACTTGCCTTGCATGCATGAGGCCCTGGGTTCGATTCCTCAGCACCACATAAGCAAAAAGAATAAAGCCGGAAGTGGCGCTGTGGCTCAAGTGGTAGAACACTAGCCTTGAGCTGAAGAGCTGAGGGACAGTGCCCAGGCCCAGAGTTCAGGCCCCATGACCAGACCGAAAGGAAAGAAAGAAAGAAAGAAAGAAAAAAAGAAAGAAAGAGAAAGAAAGAAAGAAGGCACTTTAGTGACAAATGCAAGGAAACTGCCTACATACATGCATCTATTGGGTGTTTTCCCTGTGAGTATCCTACACTATGTATAAAGCTCAGTAATAGCCCAAGAACAGTAAGGTACAGGTCAAATACATAGGACAAGTAACAGGGTGGAATCCCAGGCCTGCTCGGCCCCCACTTGCCCTCAGCTTCCCCTTTTAAGAGCTGATATTGGCCATTCCGATTCTTACAGAGAATTCATTCATGTTCCCATATGAAACTTTGTGTGTGAGTGTGCACCACTCCTAGAGCTTGAAATCAGGACCTGGGCACTGTCTCTGAGATTTTTCCTCAAAGCTAATGCTTTACCATTTAAGCCACAGCTCCACTTTAATTGGAGATAAGAGTCTCCCGTGCTTTCCTGTATGGTGGCTTTGAACCTCGATCCCCAGATCTCAGCCTCCTAAGTAGCTAGGATTACAGGTGTGAGCCACCAGCTTCCAGCTGAAACTCCTGTTATGTTCCCTTTTCGGTGTTTGTAATACTATGAGGCAGATCAGATGCGCATGATTCTGAAAATCATAATCAATCTAGCCAAACCCAAGTAGGGTGGTAAAATTTCCAGCAGCATCCAACAGATGGCAGCAACAGACAAAGCAAGTCACAGGAGCATTTTTCTCCCCCTTTAACACCTTTCTCTGCAGTCTTCAGGACTGGGACAGCACAGAAGATACTCCTGGGACTTCAGAGGACCCATTTCTTTACTGCCATTAAAACACACATACACAGACACAAGCCAAATCAAATGATCCCCAGCTGGGATCAAAGCTTGCTTAGAAGATGTCTCTTCTAATAAAAAAAGGAACTAAGGGGTGAGGGACGTGGCAGTCTTTCGCCAAGACATTTGACATCCGTGGATGGTAAATGTGCCTATGAGCCTGGCCTGGAGCATGGGGACGGCTTGCTTTCCCATGGGTTCCTTGCAGACAGGCCAGATGTAGAAATGCAAAGTATCTGCGCAGGGTGGGCATGCACCGTGACAGGGTCCTGAAGGCCAGCCTGCAGCCTGGAGCGCCACCCTGCACTGGCATGGATCCCCCATGTCTGAGGGGGGAGGGCTGCCACTTTGGGACCCTGTGACAGAGGCTGGAGATTGCTCCGTTGTGACTGGCACCTCGCGATTGAGTATTCATTGCTTGTGACAGCATGTCATTCCTGCACTTGTCTGAGATGAAGGGAAGACTTCAACCCAAAGCACTCCTCAGTGAGGGCTGAGGAGCAGCCACAAGATGTGGGGCTTGATGCTGAAGAAAGGCAGACAACAAATAAAAATTATATTTCACGAGGTAGAAAGAAATGAGCATCTGCTCTCCAAATTCTCACCAAAAGGTCTGTGTTGGATGGACAGGCGTGGCAGCTGCAGCCATGGCCATGATCATATTTAGTAGACCTTATCAGATTGCTGCCATTCCGCCAGATTTGCCTCACCAAAAAAAGAGACAATTGTGTATTGATTCTACCAGTCTTTTTTTTTTTTTAAAGCAGAATCTTTATGATCAAACAGCAGTGTCAGGAGACCCTAAAGCACTGGTCAGTCATAGGGCCTGAACTCTCAGCCTGGCCGCTGTCCCTCAGCTCTTCAGCTCAAGGCTAGCGCTTTACCACTTGAGCCACAGCACCATTTCTGGCTAAATCCAACCCAGACCCTCACACATGCAAGGCAAGCACTGTACCACTGAGCCACCTTCCAGCCCCCTCTCCCAGTCTTAATATCACAAGGAGCCAGGTGTAGTGGCATATCCCTGTAATCTCAACAGCTCTGAAGGCTGAGGCAGGAGGGCCTTAATTTCAAGGTCAGCCTGAGCGCCATAGCAAGACCCTATCTAAAGAAAGGAAGGAAAGGGCCAGGTGTCAGAGGCTCATGCCTGTAATCCTAACTACTCAGGATGCTGGAGATCTGAGGGTCATGGTTCAAAGCTAGCCCATGCAGGAATGTCTGTGAGACTCTTATCTCCAGTTAACCACCAAAAAGCTGGAAGTAGAGCTGTGGCTCAAGTGGTAGAGTGCTAGACTTGAGCACAAAAGCTCAGGGACAGTGCTTAGGCCCAAGTTTAAGTCCCAGGAATAGCACCAGAGAGAGAGAGAGAGAGAGAGAGAGAGAAGGGAGAAAAGGAATGAGGAATGAGGAAGGGAAGAAAGAGGGGAAGAAAAGGAAGGAGGAAAGCTAGGAAGGAAGGCAGTAATGATGGTAGCTGGCCTTTATCAAACACTTAAGGGCCAGGCACAGATTCTAAATGCATTTTGTGATCTCATTCTTCCCCCATGATAAGGCATTGAAGTAGGTTGTCTGCGGCTGTGGTAGACAGAGGATCAGAGAGGTTAAGTCATTTGCACCAGGTTATATAACCAGAACATGGCAAAACTCAGTTTTTACCTTACCACTAAGTGTAGGATCTGAGGCGAAGGGACTTGGCTAAATGGAAAATGAGCTCAAGAGGAACAGCCTTGTGATCTGTGTTTCTTTCCTGCAGGTCAGTCAGTACACATTTGCTATGTGCAGCTACCGTGAGAAGAAAGCGGAGCCTCAGGAGCTCCTACAACTGGATGGCTATACTGTGGACTACACGGACCCCCAGCCAGGTACCCATCCTGCCTCAGGAGTAAATCAGTGTTCAACTAACATTTGCTGGTTACTTGCTGCATACTAGACACAAGCCAGTTTACTGTGGTCTCCTGAGTGTCCATGAACCATGTTCCTGATCACAGGGAATTTCCATCCTGGATGATTAAGTGCCATCCCAATGTGGGGCTTTGGTCTTATACCAGAGATTCATGGTTGAAAACATATGCAATTTTCTCTCTGTGTGTGCGTGCGTGTGTGCATGCGTGTGTGTGTGTGTGTGTGTGTATGTGTGCGCGCAGGTATTGGGGCTTGAACTGAAGACCTCATGCTTTTGCTTGGCTATTTCACTCAAGACCACACCTCCACTAACAGCATTTTGCTTGTTAATTTGAGGTTAGTGTCTTTTGGATGTCAAGCCCAGTTGGCTTCATACCTGGGTCCTCAGATCTTAACCTTATGAGTAGCTAGAATTACAGGTGTGAACCCCCAGCACCCAGCTGCAATTTTCTTTTAAATACCTATAACTATGAATGACATATTCAGCCATATAATGCTAACATATATTCCTGAAAAAGAAGATAGACATGTATACTAAGGACTACATTGTATATTTTATGAGTATATTTTTTGCATGTATGTGCATGTGCTCATACACGTTTGTCGTTTTTCACCAGTGATGTGTAAACTTACCAAATACTGTGTGTGTGTGCGTGTGTGTGTGTGCACATGTGCGTGTGCATGCATGCATGCAGTGATACTGGGGCTTGAACTCAGGAGCCTGGACACTGTCAGTGAGATTTTGTGCTCAAGGCTAATGCTCTACCACTTTGAGCCCCAGTGCCATCTCTGGATTTTTGGTAGTTAATTTTAGGAGATAAGAGTCTCATGGTCTTTCCTGCCCAGGCTGGCTTTGAACTGTCATCCTCAGATCTCAGCCTCCTGAATAGCTAGTATTACAGGAATGAGCCACCAACACCCAGCCAAACACTAAGACTTGATGACCAAGAAACATGGTATATATATATATATATATATATATATATATATATATATATGTATATATATATGTATATATGTATATATATATATGTATATATATATATGTCCATAAACTCAGGCTAGCATTCAAGTTAACTGATGGAACTTGATAAGAGAATCCACACTAGATGGGTTTTTTTCCTCCCAAGAAAACACCCATCTTCAAGCACAGACACCGTAGCTCCCAAGACTTAACGTAACTAAGAAAACCATATAACTGATAGAATTTCTTGTAAGTTCTACATTGCATAAGTTCTACATCCTGCCCCCTCACACTTCTCCCCCAACCCATTTTATCTTTTTTTTCACCAGAAAAAAAATGAATAGAAATCAGCCTCAAAGAACCTTCATCATGGGGAGGGGTGCGAAATCATTTCAGCATATTAATGAACAACAAGCACCAACAGCCCTCTCCCGGAGAAGTTTATTTTTATGCCAAATCTGTACAAGGGAAGCATTTCCAACCATACTGCATTATTTGGCCCAAAACCTTTTTTTCTACTCCCATATTGCTCTTCCACATGCAACAAAATACACAGAAAAGAAAAACAGAGTTTGAGAGGAGATGGAGTATTAACCTGAAAAGGTATGATAGGAAAGGCCTTGGGCCAAGCCCACTGAGGGAAATTAATGCTACCAAGATGCCCTTTCTGAGGGACTTGGACCCACCCGACCTCTTCTGACTTTCCTTTATGCATGATATAAAAAGTGTGCCTGGAAATCTTTTACAATGCAGTGAACCTAGAGTTTGAATGAGCAGTTTCATATACTGTCTTGTTAAAAAAAAAAAAAGAAAAAGAAAAAAAAACTGGGATCGGTAGACTCTTAACCAGGACATTCTGTGATGGTCTGGGTTTTCTTGAGTTATTGGGTTTGTTCAAAGATTCAAATTCAGTCTTTCCTAAGACTTGTGGCTCAGAAGTGGGTGGGGCAAGGAGGGGGTGCTGAAAGAAAATCCATACTCCTTTCCCCCTACCTGGTTAAATTAAGTCCTCACCTCAGTCTTACAGAGTGAACAGTTTAGAGCATCATCCTGTTTGTAAAGAAGGTACAGATTTCTAGAGATCAAAGGTTGCTTGTGGGTGGAGCTAGACTTGGAAGTCTAACCCATGTGTTAGCCTTTAGTACTTGCTATATAAGATGTTGTAGTGAAGCTATAGTGTTTGTCATCTATAAACAATTCTCTTGCTGTGGTTGGAAAACAGAAGGGAGAAAGCTCTTCTGTCCCCATACACAAGGAAGAACTGTGCACTATTTTAAAGCTCCTACCTCAAAAAAAATCCTATAAAATATAATTTATACATTCATTTATAGTAAATGGAAATGGAAAATAAATTGCTTTTATTCTTGAGGTTAATAAGCAGTAGCTCTTCTCTGTCTTCTTTAGGCTAAGTCCTATTTATTTTCCAAGGGATTTTTTTTTATTGTAAAAATACCGTACAGAGGGGTTACAATTACATGAGCAAGGTAATGAGTACATTTCTTATCCAGCATTGTTGCCTCCTCCTTTGTTTCCCCAAGGGATTTTTAAAAATAAAAAATATTTAAATATGTCCAGTTCTCATGAGAAAATTCTAACTCAAAATGTTATAGGCTCATGCCTATTATCCTAGCTCCTCAGGAGGCTAAAATTGCAAGAACCCTGGCTTGAGGGTAGCTTAGGCAAAAAAAAAACAAACAAACTAGTTCATGAGACCTCATCTCACTCAATAAAAAGCTAGGTACGGTGGTATATACCTATTGTCCAAGCCATGACAAGAATCATAAAATAGAAGGATTCTCATCCAGGCTGAGTTAAAAGGGACACTCTAGCTCAAAAGTAAACAAAACAAAAGGACTGGAGACATTGTTCAAGTGGCAGAATATCTGCCTAGCAAGAAGAAATTCCTGAGTTCAAACCCTAGTGTTGCCCCCAGAAAGATACATATCTATATCTATATATCTCTCTATATATACACATACAAATATACACAAGTATATGTACATAGAAAGATATGTGTATGAATCTGTATGTGTGTATGTGTATATATCTATATACACACATTTTTGCTACTGTAAATGGAACCCAAGGCCTTGTCCATGCTAGACAAGCAGTCTACCACTGAACTGTTGCCCTGGACTTTTTGTCAGAATTTCTTAATGCATGCCTATTAAAAAGTATGTGTTCCTAAGCTCTGCCTCTAAACTAGGAACAAGAAAGAGCAAAGACAGACTCTTCATGTGAAGTAAGCATTGGAGGGAATTCTTTTGTATAAGACAATTTGCCAGCTTTTTCCCATAAGATCTATTCCTCAGGAGCAGTGTACATTTTAGCAGATTCCACTAGAGATTCCAGGAGTCTCCTTAGCTGCTCCTAGAGGGTGAGTGTGCAAATCCATTGTCTTCTCTCCTGCTCTTGCCTTCCTCCATGTTGTTCATGGAACCAACCGGCAGAAACGTTTGTAGGCTTGGTGCTCATGTAACCTGTTCTGTACTGTAGGGAAAGATGTGAATGCATATCGCCATCTTAGGACCAGCCTGAGATCCAGATGGTCACCCAGACACAAAATTTTATGCTAAATAAAGTCTTATCTGTTGAAGGTCCTTGAAATGTTAGTTTGGGGAATTGATAAATAACTATGTGTAAGTTTTACTAATCTTCTAAAGCTAAAATTGAAAATGTTTCACTTTACCTTGCCATGGGTATAGTTCAAAGAGCACTCATAGTCACTCAGTTCCTGAGCAGTTTGGCCTCAAATAAAAGAAGGTACTTCCAAAATTCCATGACACAGTGTCTTGGGCTACTAAATCAATCTGAAACAATGCACATGGATGGCCCTCTTGTAGTGTATAACAGACTGTGCCTCTCCTGCATGCTGAATTAATATTGTCAGAGCAGTGGAGACGTCTTCATATCATTTCTTCCCAATGCCATTGTCAGACAGGTTCCTGACTGACGAACTGTGAAGATGTTGATCACTCATTCATTTACCCAATGAATGGGGCAGAGGTACTCCCTCATAATTGTAGAAATGCTTAGTACAGACACAAACCTTCCATTGTGGCTAGGGAGGACCTACTACCCGACAATATAGGTTCCAGGAATAAGTTGATGGATACAGTATAACTCAGGCCTTAGCCCAAAGTAATGCTTCCACCTGAGTCTATAGCCTATTTACTCAGCAAATATTTGTTGATCATCTACTATGTACCATACACAATTCTAGGCACTAAGTATATGATAGTGGATAAGACAGAAATTTACTGTCCTTATGATGCAAAGTATATAGGTAGGTAGAAAATAGTAAGAGCAACAGAGGAAAGTTAAGCAAGGTAAGAAAGGTAGACAGTGAGGGGATACAAGTCATAAACATCCTCAGTGGACTTCTCTTTGTGTCAAAGACATGCTGGAGGTGAAGATGTGAATCAAACAGATGCCTTAGGGAAAGAACAATGTCAGTATAGTACAGAGTCTAGCAAGGGTGAGGTCAATCAGGATCAACAGAGCTGCCCAAGGAGTAGCAAGAAGCCAGTGAGTACGTATGTGCCCAAAAGTGGGGAGAGAGAGACAGAGAGAAAGAGACAGAGAGAGAGGGAGGGGAAGAAACCTGGGGTGCAGGCTTTTCAGGAGCTAAACTTTTCGTCTAAGTGGAACCACTGTGAGCCAAGGAGCAGGATGACCTGACTCATACTAAACCAATAAGTCTAGACTACAGACAGTGAGGGTGGAGGTAGACAGGTCAGATAGGGGGCTACTAAAATAACCCGTATGAGAAGTGTTCATAGAGAGAGTCTAGTGGCAGCACTGGAGGTGGGGACATTGGTCCCCTTCTGGTATAGTCCTGCAGGTAGAACTGTCAGAATTTCACTAGCATTTGGAGAAATAGAAAAATGAAAATTAGGCCTAAGTTGTGGCATTCCTTATCAAGAGAAATACCTGCAGCATGACTGAGCTGGAGAAGGGATTTAAGGGAAAGAGTAGGAGTTCCCAACTTGGGTATGACACGCTTATACAGAAAGCTATTAGCAACACAGGCTTGGAGTTCAAGGGAGAGGGCTGAGATACAGGTACTATGTGCATCCTGCTGACTAAAGCAAATGAAATTAGGACTCTGACCATTGGATTTACCAAGGCAGATGCCATCGGAGACGATGATGAGGTCAGTTAACAGTAGCCTGGTTGGAGGGGCTTTAAGAGAGACTAAGAGGAGACCCTTGCTACTCAGACCAGCGCCATGTACATTATTTGCAAGCTTGTTTGACATACTGCATCGGAAGCTGCAGTTCAGCAGTATGCCCAGGGATTCACATGTGAACTGACTTTAAGAGGTCTTAGTACAGATGTGTCGTTTGTTATAAAGAAAAGAACTTTACTTATGGCTTTTTAGTAGTTAATTGGCAGTATGAGTCTCATGGACTTTCCAGCCCAGGCTGGCAGGAAATCACAATCCTCAGATCTCAGCCTCCTAAATAGCTAGGATTGTAGGTGTGAGCTATCACCATCCAGCTGGATAGCTTGGTTTGAAATAGGAGGGAAGAAATAGTGTGTTTATAGGCAGATGTGTCAGGCAGCCTGCTAGATAGTGCTGTCACCATCCAAACAAAGAAAGAGATAGGAGCCAGGCTCAAAATGTCTCTAAGCAGCCTGGTCCCACTCAGTGGCCAAGTAGTTCTCAGAAACCCTATCATGGAGTCAAATAAATTACTCCTCCCTTCTTCTGGTCCAAGAAAAAAAGCTGCAGAAAATGCTTTCTACGGGCTGAGCATGTCACTGCTCAGCTTAGAAATTATTCTCTCTTTCTCTTCAAGGTTTGGAGGGTGGCAGGGCCTTCTTCAATGCTGTCAAAGAGGGAGACACAGTGATATTCGCAAGTGATGATGAACAAGATCGCATCTTGTGGGTCCAAGCTATGTACCGGGCCACTGGACAGTCACACAAACCCGTACCACCGACCCAGGTCCAGAAGCTCAATGCCAAGGGAGGAAATGTGCCTCAGCTGGATGCCCCCATCTCGCAATTTTGTAAGTAAATATGACATTTCCTAAAGAAACAGTTCTATAGAGTAAACCTTCCACAGTTGAATGAAAAGAAAAAAAACTAGTTGCTATGATATAGCATTTATAAAAATCATGTTTGTTGAAAGCATGCAGTCCATTCAGGGCAAGAGTTGGGGGCGGTTATTTTAAAGTGCAATACTTGACCTTGTCTATCAAGGACTGAAAAAAAAAAAGGAAAGTATCTTTGATGCATATTTTTACCTCTTTATTTTGGTAAGAGTTTAGAATTCAGAGCCCAACATGTATTTTTGAGACCTTCAAATATAGTAGGTTGATGTATGTTGTTGCTTCACGTCTTCCTATTAAAAGTGATTTTAAAATGGAATTGATTTGAAATAAACTTAAATCTGCAATTTAGAACCATTTAAAAATAAATGATGACATTATCACATGCAGTGAAGGAAAAAAAAACCCATGATACCTAGATTCCCATTCTGAACTGAAATATCAGATACCCAAAAATGAATGCATCTTCTTACACAGCCTTATCCCAGTTGCCGGTCCTCCTTCTCTTCTTACCTCTGCTTCTGACCAGTTTCTTGCCCCCTGTCCCATGTCTTCTTCCTAGGAAGACTTTTCTCTCCCAGAACTTCTGATGCACAGGGTAAGGTGAAAGCTTGTCTATGTTTGAATACATTTATTGAAGCAAAATGAGAACGTAAAGCACGAAACAACACAATTTGTTTCAGTCGCACATGTTTACATTAAAGAAAGACCTTTGCCTTACCCCGTATATCATGTCTCCTTGGAATATTGGTTTTGTTCTGTTTCATTTTGTTTTTGCAATGATTACTGACTTTAGTATGGAACTCACTCACCCTCCCTCACTGGGTACCTGTCTAGAGATGAGATGTCCTAATGAGGAAGACTCACAAAACCCCTGTTCTTGAGACATCTTCCCCTTAGGGCAAGTCAGGATTGCAAAAGAGTCCACCAATAAATCGGATACTCTCAGCTTTTAACAAATACCATGGTGGATGTCATGTCATGATGACTAACTGAGGAAAGAAAACACCAGGCAAACAGAAGTAGCTTCTCTGTGTAATGGTCAACGATTCTGTCCAACAAGAAGAGTTTGTTCTGAAACCTTGTAAAGCCCTTGCCAATCAGGGAACACAGCTCTTTTGGGGGTGACAAACCCACAAGTTCCTATTCAGTGCCTGTAGTTTCTTGAGGAAGATCCCTTAGAAGAATTTACAAATAACTACATACTTTCAATAGCTTCCTATGTAGAAAATCACTGAAGTGGGAGTTGGATAGAAAAGAACAGGACTCCTACCAGGACTCCTACCCAGGTCCCACTTTCTTCTTGCTCTCTCTCATGTCTTCTGGAACCTGGGCTTATTTGAGAATAAAGAGAGGAGGAGTCATTCATTGAAGGAAACATCCCTGGCAGCTGGTGAATTTTTCTTAACAAAAGACAACAGTGGGACCCATTCTTTCCGCTCACCCTGCCTGGTAACCTCCTTGTTAAGACATCTGGAAATGATGCCACCCATCATACCCACCTGAAAAGGTATTTTCCCAGTGTGAGAAAAATGTCCTAAGTATAATCGCTATCCAAATCAACCTCATAAAACATATACGCAGGTGATAGTTGGAAAATCCCGCTCTTATTTCCAAACGATCTCCAGTTCTTGCATTCAGTGTCTCTGTCCTGTCACTTGCCCAACTTAACAAACTGATTTGGCCATACTTTTTCTTCCTTGCGTAAGGAAAGATATTTAAGAGTAAAGTTAAATGGAGAAGAGCCTGGAACTGCCAGTGGTATAGCACTTCTTTAAGCCCTGAGTTTAATCGACAGCATTCCCTCCCAACCCCCACCCCCCTTTTTTTTTTAAAGAAGACCCATGGTGGCAGCTGTTAACTAGAGGGCCGCTCATTGTGGAATTGCAGCAAGGCTCTTGATGGAGATTTCCCTCTGTTGGTAGGACACATTTAGTTAGGAAGCTAAAATGCTAATATAGGCATCAGCAGAAAGATTCAACTGAATACATGTTGCTTGATTCCTGCCAAAACCTTGTTTGAAACAGAGAACTTTTATAAAACAGGGCATCCAGAAAAAAAATCCTAAAAGGTAGAATTTTAGGTAGTAAAGAATATCACATCTGCCAGGTGCCAGTGGCTCATACACATAATCCTAGCTACTCAGGAGGCTGAGATCTAAAGATTGCAGTTTGAAGCTAGCCCTGGCAGGAAACTTCAGCTTATTCCTTTATCTCCAATTAACTACTCCCTTCCCCCACTTAAAGCCAGAATTGCATGGAGTTCAAGTGGTACAGTGCTAACTTGGAAAAAAAAAACTCAGGGACAGTCACCCAGGCTCTGAGTTCAAGGTCCTGGACCAGCACACACACACCAAGGAAAATATCACCCCTGAGAATGTAGAAAGTGGGTTTAGAGATGAATGAGGAGATGAGTTAATGCATGTTTATGGGATTTTATCAGGACCGGGGCTGGGGAAGAAGGGGGAGGGAGAGCCATCTTCTCTCCTCTCTCAGGACTCCTTAAACAGCGCTCAGTAATGGAGGTTCTCCAGGGAGCATGAAGAAAGCCTACCTAAGAACAAGGCTACCACATTGAGCCAGGCTGACTGTTGGCTAGAAGAGGCTCTATTTACATAGACAAAAAAATGTGAACAGCACCCACTGGCTTGGATAGGCCCAGTCTCCCCAGTTGTGTAGTAGTCCTGTAATAAATAGCCATTCTTGTCTTAGACTGAACTCACTGGTGTGGATCTCAGTAGTCCTACCATTCCTTAATTGTCCCTCACAGAGAGCCTCCCCACTGCTTCAAATTTCATTGCTAACGTAGGCACTTAATAAAGGTTGCACAACCAAAGTACCAGCCAGGGTGGCTTCTGAGTCCATAATTTAAAAACCAGCATAGGAAATCAGAGTTTAACTACCCTCACCTTCTGTTCATGAGCACATACAAGAGAAAGATCAAAAGAGACCAGGAATTTTACATTCCATGGTGTCAGTGTGGAGTTATACATAAAAACATACATACATACATGCATGTACATGCACACACACACACACACACACACACACACATACAAATGGGTGGGTGTGGTGAGGTGAGGGTAGGTCTTGGGTTTTATTGGACCTGCTTACAGAATGGCAGTCCCTCACTATTTCTTCACAGCTGCTTTTATTTGTTAAAATCAAGTCATCGCTGTTAGAAAGAAAGCTTTCCATATAGAAAAGCCTGAGACTTCCCTAATTTTAGCACTGAAATTCTGTGTCCCAGGAGAACTAGCACTCAAGAAAAAAAATGGAAAAATATCATAACATCATTCCAAATAGAAAATTGTGGTCCCTCACTTACATTTGGTTGGTTGGTCTTTAGTCATATCACAAAAATTAACTCAATGATAGATTTATTAGCTAACAATAACAACAAAAAAAGTTCTTAAAAGAAATAATCAAGTATTGCATTTTAAAAAAGGTTTCCTTGACTTCTAAAAGGTAAGGGTCATTGTTAAATACTTAACTGCATACATCTCATAAGTCCTGTATTTGACTATTTGTTCAAAGTACTTGCCATACGCGGGCTATGATTAAGGACTTTTCAGTAACTAATGTTGGTAATTGTTTGGTTAGTATTTACACAGCAAAGGGAAGCCACATAGAAATGTTTTGGGGGAGAGAAAAATAAACACTCCAGTCTTGTCATGTCCCTGTCTGTTCCAGGAAAACTTGAGAATGGAACATTTTATAGCATGGGAAATGGAAGTAATTGTGAGTGCATTGGGTTCTTTCTAAATTCAGTTTTTAACAGATTTTGGTGCAGTTCATATTTTTCTTTTTTCTTTTTTTCTTTTTTTTTTTTTACAATTTTCAAAGCTCAATTTCAAACTGAAAAGACATGTCTTAAGAAAGAGTGGAGTGAACTGTTTATATAGAATTATAAAAAGTGAAGAAAAAAATAGATCCTGCTATTCATTAGTTTGTGTGTAACTCTACAAAGATTTGGGGAGGGCTCCATCAAACTTAAAAACTTTTCTGTTATTTTGTGGTTTCTTTTGTGTGTGTTGATTTAATTTTTTTCCTTTTTAGTTAAAATTTAAACAAGTTGAAGTTACTACCTAGTTACACTTTAAAAAAAAATACTGGTAATTATGTAGTTTCTTATGTGGTTCCTATGTAGTTGAAGGTTGTCACAATTTGGTATGTCAAGTGATGTCTCACTTAGAAAACAATGTATCCCTACCTGTTGTGTTTAGTGGGACAATAACATTCAGTACCTCAATTCTCATGTGGAATGGGGTGGGGAAAAGAGGGTATTTTAATCTTTGACATTTGGCTGATGATTTGATATATTATTTGCAATGAGACATTTTAATGTGTGTTTCCTCTGTCAATAACTGACTACACACTATAGATCCCCAAAGCTGGAAGTTTCTGGGGGCTGTACCATATTTACTTTCACTTGAACAGTTGTCAGCCTTTAGGGGGATTTTGATTACTGTTATTGGTTTGGGGGAGGTTGATTTTTTTTCTGTTGTTGTTGTTGTTTTTGTTTTGTTTTAAGTTTTCTTGTTCAATCTTTGCTCGAACCCAAGAACTTTAGCTGCTAGGTTAGAACTCCTGTCTGCTTTCCTGAGCCTTGTTGCTAGTCTTTATGTTATTCTGGTTTGTTCCTTCTTACCCTGCTAACTTCTAGCTGGACTGAAGGGTAAGTGCTCCCCTATAGCTAGCACAGCTCAGATAATCAGACTAGATTATCTGACACCTGCAATGTGCTTCCCTCCCCTGCCCTCCTCTTAAATCTTCCTCATGTCTAGACTTTGTAGTAAAACTTTTTTTCATGTTAATTTTCTTGACCTTAGGTTTGAAATGTAAGCTTCCATACTGAAACTAGGATGCATGTGATGTGTGCATAATTGCCTCCTCTCCTTGGCTTTCATATTGGCATCAAATGATCCTCTGAGTAAAGCCAACCATGAATATCTCCTA